TAAATACAAAATAGGGCTGGAGATGTGGTTCAGTGGTGGAGTACCCCTGAGTTCAATCCCCAGTACTCCTCCCAAAATTGCAAGTACCCCTGAAGAGTATCACATTACTTTATGTTTTTTTGTCATAAGAGAATTAAAGCTATCATGAAGGTTCTGGGGACTTGAAGACAGGTGTTAGGAGTGGGAGAAGGGGAATTGGGCACAAAAAGAACTGTTGGGACACAAAGCAATTCACATTTTAACCAGGGATCAGCTCTGAGCCAGCTGAAAGAAACCACAAAAGGGCTGGTGAGCTGTGATTTTTCTGAGCATTCCATCTTTGGCTTGGTTTTTCTTTTTAGATAGGCTTATGGGAAATCGAGATGCCATCCCAGGTTATGTGGAAGTTTTCAGATAAAGATCCAATTGGCCACTCTAGTGTGGAAATCAAGTAGGGGAGAGTCAAGAGAGACCCCGTCCTGCTATTCACAGCCCTTCCAAACAGCTCCCAGGGAAACATTGGCCAGAAAAGAAGCCCTAGCAGTCCAGTCTCTAAATGGGAAATGCATAATTATTCCAAAAAAAAAAAAAAGTAAACAGAAAGCAGGTGACTGGGAGGATGCCCGAGACGAGTTTCACAGGGGCCTGGAGGTTCAGGGTAGCCCCTCGAAGACCCTGTACTCTGAGCATTGAGCACTGCCAGGATTGTCTCCCACTCACACTTCCTCTGCCCTGACCCTTCCCTTCTTGTCTGCAGCCCTAACTTCCTGGCATCTTCTTTTGCTTCCCACAGAATCTCAGCTCAGTGACTGTACCCTGGCTGCCTTCTAGACATTCCAGGCCACAAAGGGTTTCACTATAAAGGCTTCATTCTGACCTAATAATTGCAGCCAAACTGAAACACAGAGGGGAAAAAATCAGCATATATGGATAAGGATATGGCATCAAGAATTGTCTCTGCAAGAGGCTGTGGCACAGTGGTAGAGCACTTGCCTGCTCTACCACAAGCCTCTAGTGAGGCACTGGGTTCAATTCTCAGAACTGCATATAAATAAATGAATAAAATAAATATCCATCAATATCTCAAAAATAAAAAAACAAAAAAGAATCGTCTGTGCAAAAGTGAAGTTTTGCCAGGCACAGTGGTACATACCTATAATCCCAGCAACTTGGGAGGCTGAGGCAGGAAGATCACAAGTTTGAGATCAACCTCAGCAACATAGTGAGGCTTTAAGCAACTTAGTGAGACCCTGTCTCTAAATAAAAATTTAAAAGAACTGTGGATGGAACTCAGTAGGAAAGCGCCCCTTGGTTCAATCCCCAGTACAAAAAAAAAATGAAGTTTTGCATGAATTATCTGAATAATAAGTATTTCATCTTTGGCTAGTGAGGAAGCTCTGCCCTTTGATTGCTGATCTACTTCTTTAAGGGATCCCTAGATTCCCACATGTGCTGGGCAGCAAGGTGGACAAAGATGACTCAGTGGTGAGCTCTGTAGACACAGTTCCCATTCTGAGCAGCTCTCACTGAATTGGGAAACCAAAGAAAAAGTACAGCAAGGATTATAAATGGAATTCTGGGAATGCACCGTTGGGAAAACTCACAGAATGGGCGATGCACAGTTCCCCCAAAGGGAGCAAGAGGTGACATCTTCAAAAGAGGAAGAGACATTGGATGAATCACAGCAGACAGTAGCTACAGTGAGGAGTGGCAACTGTGGACAGAGTTAGCTGAGAGAGCACCCACTGCTGGAAATGAGAAAGGAGGTGGGATTCAAACTGAGGCAGGGCTTGACTGGGCCAAAGGCAAAGAGAGAAGAAGGATGGGAAGGAAGAAGTCTGAGGGGCAGCTGTGACAGGAGCAAGCACAGCACAGTGGGGGACCATCAAGAGAGCCCCAGGAACAGTGGGAAATAATGTGGCATGAGCAAGTACAGCCTGTAAAAAAATACTTCTAATCCAATCACTTGTCAAAGTCACCTGACTGTTCTCAACTGGCAGCTCTTCAGCCCATTTACAAATCAAAATATTAAGATTTTTGCATACAGGGGTATTTGCTTTTTGCTTCTAAAGTCTGTCTAATGGTATTTATTAGTGATTTCATTCCCACACCCAGTTGTACCGTTTCACTAGGCAAGTGGTTAAGTAATCTCTCTCTTCCTCTCCTTTCTCTACAAGGCAGCAGGGAAGAGAGGGCAGGGTCCTAGAAGGAAGAAGGACTGGACCCCCTCTCAGCACATGAAATTCTGCAGCAACTTCCTTCCCAGCCTGGCCTCTGGCTCTAATTAGAGAAACCCTATCTTTCATAGATCTGCCTTTTAGAGGAACATAAACAGAACTGCCCAAGGCCCCCAAAGCCTATTAATGCATTTTTTAAAGCTGAAAACACATAAAATCCTCACATTTTATAAATAAACGTTGAGAAAAAAACATGATGAGAACCAGAGCTTCCAACAAGAAACTCTATTTTGACCCAATGCTAAAGTGTATTTCTATGGGTTCTTGTGTCCCAGCCTCCCCCATGGAAATGCTTGTGAGTTTTTATGTTCTTGGAGAAAATTTAGAGTCACACTACCTGCAAGTGTACTTAAGTGCCTTGATTATGCCTAAGGGGACACCAGGCAAAAGGGTGAGCTGGCTCTTCAAAAAAATAATGTCTCCATCTCCTTATTCCTTACTTAGCAGTCACAAAAAGCCTTTTGCAATTACGCTGTGTCACAGAGATGTAACCTTACCACCTAGACTGCTGGGTCTAAGTACCAGTTTATTTTTTTCCTTCCCAGGATTTTTGGAGGGCCTAGGGATTTTTTAGATGTTTAAAGTCAGTGAACTTTCTCAAATAGTTTAGAAGCAGCTTGTGGCATTGCAGTATAGGGACTGTGGTGCCATATGGAGGAAAACTGCCCTTTTCCTGAAAAGTTTCTCCCTGACCCAGGACACTCTCCATCTCTGGATCTTGTGGGGTAGGGAATTCAGGATAAAACTAAGAATTGGGACAGCTAGTTCTAAAGCTGGCTTTTCCAGTAATTTGTTTAGAGGCCTTGAGAAAGTCACTTCACCTCTCTGGGCATTGTTTCCTCGTTTATAAAATTCTTCTTTAGACAGGTATAGTGGTGCATGTCTGTAATCCCAGCAGCTCAGGAGCCTGAGACAGGAGGATTGAAAGTTCAAAGCCAGCTTCAGCAATTTAATGAGGACCTAAGCAACTTAGCAAGACTCAGTCTCTAAATAAATAAATAGATAGATAGAGCTGGGGATGTGGCTAAGAATTAAGTACCCATGGGTTTAATCCCTGGTACCAATAAAATAAAATAATTCTTTTTCTTTAAACCAAAGCATGCTAAGTTCTTTCCAGCTCCACAATGATCCCATGACCATTAGGCAGATCTCAAAGCTGATGAGAAAGGGCAAGTCATGTCACCTTGAGTGTGCCCACTGGCTTGGAACAAGAGCATTTTAGGTGGAGAGCCATCCAGGTAGGGGAGACTGATAGGCCGTGATGGATTTGTGAAGTATTACTAATGGTGAAGGCTTAAGAATCCACGTCAGTCCCCTTGCTCCAGAACACTCAACAGATGCCCTTCACATGCTAAGGTCCACCTGTCCACCTGTGCACCCCCAGCATCTAAGGCTGCCACCTGAAGAAGCAGTCATCAAGGCCACCTTGTGCAGAGTTTGGGCTCCTTTATTGTGAAAGTGCACCTCTGTTCCTCTCAGCCGTGATTTGATGTGCACTTTTCCCCTAAAGCCCCATGAGCACATTCTACCTCCGCAGGCCTAACATTATTCTAATAACAAGGCTCCTCTTTCCTAATTCTTTCCCCTGACATCTCGGAAAACACTTAAAAGGCAGGGTTTGAAAGGGCAGCTGTCACTTTGCTGTCACTCCAAGGCCTCAACCCCATTTAATTTAGGCTGGAATAGGGCAATCATTTCCATCAGTCAACGGGCTGAGTAAAAAGGAGTCTGTCCCTCCTCCGCCCACCCCAAGTGCTGAAGACACATTGCAGGTGGGTGAATTAAATCATAGACCCTGAACAACCTCCCTGTTCACTCATTATTTTCTTGTTTAACCCTTTTAAACATATCATCTATTCAATAAGGCCTCAGGACCAGGACTGCTCTGTTTGGGGGTGCAGAAGGTGGTTATCCTTGCTCTAGGCCATGTGTTCCCTTAGTGTGAATCTAGTGACAGATCACAGAGTACTTGCATTTAAAGGTATGCACGTGGGAGCAGCAGAAGAAATAGTTTTCCTTTGGATTGCTTCTCAAAATCACTGGGGCATGTTTTTATTTTCTACATGTTGATAATGATTGGCCTTACAAATAAGCAAATCTAATGGCATCCTGGAAGATAGTGGCACATGGACGCAGGCATACCTTTTTGAGAGTTAATAAAAAGGCCACGGGTACTAAAATGCTTGCCCACTTTCTCTAGCATAGCTCAGTTCTTTAAGCCTTTGTTCCCTCTTTGTTCCCTCTTACAACACAGTGACCTTAAGGCAGTGTTGAACACACTTTTTGTACAAGGGCCAATAAAAGAAAAATAAGTTGCTTCAAAGTCAATTATAAAAACAACAGAGGTTTTAAAATAATCAGGAAATGCAGTGGCTGCATTTCTATTTAAACACTTAGGGTTTCGTCTCCAGCTAAAATGTCAAGGGCCACGTGGTTAATATGTAGCACAGAGTATGATTTCAATATTGCACCTTTGAATAAATGTGATGGCTGACTAAGACATTTTTTGAAGCTGTTTATTTTGACGTTCCTTAACTGACCCCATAGGCGACTTGGCTTCTCTCCTCCTGTCTCAATTTTGTTGTCTTTAATCATCAAATGCAAATAGCCACATGGTAACATCTTTACATCTAAAAAAGTTCTTCTCATGGTCACTTATTTTGCAATACTTAATTTTAATTAGTCACATTTCTCTTCTTGGCAGTCATAGCAGGTATTTTAAAAGCTGTTCAGTAAGAAAGCCCTTTCTACTCATGTGAACACAAACATCTTTCTTTGTCTCAGATTAAGTGGATTTCTTCACAATACCACCCAAACGATTGGTCCTCTATCATTTGTCAGGAACAGAGCCAGTAGAATTCTGGAGAAATTGATTATACCAAGTCCAAGGTAAGGTAAGCAAAAACTTCATGTCTCCGGGTCTGTTTTCTCTTTTGTAAAGTGAGGTAGGTGAAGCATCATGAAGGTAGGTGACTGGGTGAGTTGCAGAATGATTGACAGCTCTATTCAAAGGCTCAGTCTATAAAACCAATGTTCTTACTATCTTCTACAGTGCCAAAGATAAGTAGTTCCCTCAGCAAGAAGAAGGCGACCTCCCATGAGCAGGGTTTTCAAGAGGGAAGGAAAGAAAGCAAGACACCTCTGAGCATCCCAGGGAGGTAGGAAGAACACACCTGGGAAGAACATAGTCTTGAATGGGAATACTGGATAGAACTGAAATGACTCATGCAACTTTATATGGAGATACCTGATTTTGGTTAATTACTATCCTTCAAGAAATGGTGGCTTCCCCCTCTTTGTTCTTTACTCATAATTCATTATTAGATCTGTACTTGTGCAAGCAAATAGTAGTAAAATAGCAAAGATTTTACCCCTGACTAAGCTCTGAGGATTTGGGAGAAGCTCACATAATAGGCTTTGGAATGCAGAGCAAGAGGTTTGGGGATGTAGCTTAGTAGTAGAGTGCTTGTCTAGCATGCAGAAGACCTACTCTATCCCCATACAGAGTAGAAGAACAGAAACACTCCCACCTTTCTCAAGGTTCACGAGGATGAATGTCACGTGTGGCTCAGTTAAAATTGACTTAGTGAAAAGAACAAAAACTTTAGGCCCAGAAGCCAATAATCTGTAATACTGCTGATGAATTCTGCAACTGACGAATGCACAGAAGCCCAAGTCAAGGGAACTTTTAGGTCAGCTTCACCCATTCAGAGATTGTCACAAAACCTCAGTAATTCAGATCTTACTATTTGCTCATTGGTAGGCACTCAGACAAGGGCATCCTGTTCTTCCCCAAATTGATCTAAGTGAAGTGTTTTTGTGCAATGTTAATAAAAATGCAAATTGGCTAATGTTTGGGTAAAATGGTCTCCAGTGCTTTGGATTCATAACTTTCTGCTTTGTGATATTGTAGCAAGGAGGGGAAAACTGAGACCTGAAGACCAGAATCAGCCATGGTCAACTTCAAGCCTATGATAACATGAAAGGCCCAACCTTTAACATAATTTCTATGAGTTTTCTAAGACCACATAGATATAAATAGTCAAACTGAAACTCACGTAGTAGAAGATTGTAAACATGAATTCTCAGGAAAACTTAGCCTCTTTTAAGAATGCTGGAAGACACAGACAAGGATCCCTGTGCTGGCGGGTTGGATTTTTCTCCTGTTTTATTCTTTCTCTGAGATTCAATGCTTTGGAATTCCAAGTTTATGCAGGGGTCTCAGGTTCCACCTTCCTTGACATATCAAAGTCCTTTACCCTGTTGTTCCTACATAGGCATTAACATTCAAACTCAAGATTACTGTTAGCCAAATCTGTCCACACCAGTCCTCCCCACAAACACTCCTTCACTCTCTGGCCTGGCTTTCAGTTCCCTTCAGCTATAGGATGTGTAGGGGCTTCCCTGCTTGTAAGCTCTGCTATGCATTTAAAAGATTGTTTGTTATAATTTGTTTTGTATTTTTTTAATAGGGAAGTGTTCTCCTTATTTATTTATTAATTTTATCATTTCATTTTATTTTTTTTTTATATATGACAGTGGAATGCATTAAATTCTTATTACATATATAGAGCTTCTTTTTTAAAAAAATTATTTATTTTGCATTACAATTCTCAATACACCTTTATACCACAATTTATCATATTGATTGATTGTATATAAGGTATGTTGACACCAAATTCACATCTTTATACGTTTTGTATAATGATGAGGGTCTCCTTTTACTATCCATGCTATTCCCCTTCTCCTTCCCTTTCCCTCCCACCCCTATTCCCTATCTAGAGGAAATCTTCCTCCCTTGCTCTCCCTCCCAACCCCACTTTGAGTCACCTCCGCTTATATCAGAGAAGACATTCTGCATTTGGTTATTTTGGGATTGGCTAACTTCACTTAGCATAATCTGCTCTAGAGCTTCTTATTTGTATTGGCAGGATAGGAAGCCTGGGTTCAGATAATCTTAACAATATCCCAGAACCATTTCTATATTCAATTTATCTTACACTACTCTGTGTGTGTGTGTGGTGTGTGTGTGTGTGTGTGTGTGTGTGTGTGAGAGAGAGAGAGAGAGAGAGAGAGAGAGAGAGAAGGAGTGAGAGAGCAAGAGAGCACAGGCAGGCCTGGGTATTTGTTATAAAGTCAAATTCTCCTACCCGCATTTGTAACCCTGTAGTCTGCTGAAAGTATCACACTTTTCAAACACAAACCATTTCTTCTTTTATTGTCAGTGATTTGGGGGTAAGCCTGGATGTGTGGTTACTGTGGGGGACTTGTGAAAGCCAGAAACCAGGTAGGATATTGGCCACATTATTCTCTGAGTTCCTTTAATTCTTTCCTGCTCTACATTGCTGGGAATATCTAAAACATAGTTGTACTCATTCATCTTCCTCACATCCTCCTAAAAGACTGAGTTAGTATACAGAGAAAGTTTCTTGGGATTAATGAGAAGACTCAGTCTGAGGCCAAATTTAGCCAGCACTGTGACACAGCCTTGTGTGTTGTTAGAGGCTTGAAGTTGACCCTGGCTGATTCTGGCCTTTTGTAATTCTGGCTAAGAAATTATGTTAAAGACTGTTTTGGGGGCTATGATACAACAATGATACCTGGTAAAAGTAAGAAGAAAACATTTACAACCAGGTCTTCCCAGACCCACAAGTAAATTCCCACTGTAGATGAATTCACAATCTAAAATTACAAACAATCCTTCAAGAAATAAAATTATGCACACAATGAAGAGCAAGACTAGAACTTAGGAACTTCAAATAAATCAATACTCTGATTATTAATTTGATTATTATTAATAAATTAATGGTTAAGGACATAAAGTAAAAAAATCCAAACCACAAGAAAATATGCTAAAAACAAAGACATCTGATAAGAATGGAAAAGATTAAGTTAGATTCCTACCTCACTCCATACACAAAATAAAGTCCAGATATATTAGAATCTAAATGTGAAATTTCAAACTTTAAAACTTGAAGAAGAAAACAAAGAAGAATAGGAGTATGACATTAGTATATAGGAAATTTTCTTCCATAGGACACAAAAATTATAAACTACAAGGAAAAGACTTATGAATGGACCATGAGGAAAAATATTATCAACAAAAGTTGATGAAGCTGTGGGGGGAATAGAAACATTTATACAATGTGGGGTGGGAACATATGTTGAAACCACTATTGTGGAGATAATTTGATAGCATTTAAAATCTTGGCTTAGTTTATTGCACATGAATTAAGATTGTACTTGAGTAACCTTAATTACATGACTATTTACCAAGCCATTATCCTTTTTTTCTAGAAATATATTCTAAGTTATAAGTAATCTGAGAATTCTGGGAGTCAAAATTAGAACAATTGGCTCAGTTCCTCATTAGCTGAGTGGTCTTTAAAGGACCCTAAACCTCCCTGGATATTAGGCTGTCTCATCTAAATACAAGGATCTGGACTAAACAAGTCTTCAAACTGTGGGCCGGTTCTGCAGCTGGCTCTCGATTGTGGAGATCTGGGTTCCATCACCAATGAAAAACTTTAGCCAGGCTATTTCTGCCTTGATCTGTTTGATAGTGGACTTTTGGAAGAAAAAAATGAAATTTTAAAAAGGACAATTAGCCAATACACTTTTTTTTTCTCCAACAAATGCTTTCTGAGTTCCAGCTACAAAACTGGCACTGTTGTAGGGCCAGAAGACACTGCAGTGATGGATGTAGATGCCTCCTGCTCTCATAGAGCTACATGCTCCCATTCTACTGGACCACATGATCTCCAAGGCTCCTTTCCAGGTCCACTGTCTTGAATTTCCAAGACACATAAAGCAGGTGTCCTAAAGCACACCCTGAGAACTTTTTGTCCTTGGAGTTAACTGTTCAATTTTATCTGTACAAGGACAAACAGACCAGAAGAGAAGTTAAGAGTGGTGTGTCTCATTGTTGAGATGATGAAGTTGACATTTTGGCACTGCCAGTTCCTGTTCAGTAATTTAGCTCAAATCAATTATTCTGTGTCGGTCTAAGCTGAGCCTGGGTGAGTTATAAAGAACAGAGATATGTTTCCTTGTACAGCTCTGGAATCTGGAAAGTCCCCTCAGCTAATGAAGAACTGAGCCAACTCCTCTGATTTTGAGTCCCGGAGTTTTTCAACAACTCACAACTGAGAATGTATTTCTAGGAAAAAGACAACTGCCTAGTAAATAGTCATACAATTAGTTACTCAAGGACAACCTTAGTTCATGTGTAATAGGCTAAACAAAGATTTTCTGTCTCATAAATTAAGAACTAGTAACTGCACTGTCTACTGCCACATTCCATGGAATGTTGCTACATTCAAAGAAAGTGTCTCTGTTGGTTTAAAAAAAAAATACTAAAATCCATTCTATTGGTTGCATAAAGATTATTTTATGGTAGAAGGAGATGTTGGCATTTCTTTTGCCATCCTTCAGCTTTTCCGCCCATACTTCCACCTCCCCACCTGCCTTTGTCCTGATAAAAAAATGTTACAGAAAGCACTCATCAAGGGGTTGGTTGGGAGGAACCTGTTTGGGAATGTGTGTCCTTATTTGGGTAGGAGAGGGTGAATACCAGCAGGGACGCCCATCCAATCATCTCTTCTGAAGATGCACTCCCTGTTCTTTTAGGAGCATATTAATCATTTTTACGCTGTCCTGATTCCTAATCACAGGCGTTTCCAGTGTTGTCAAAACAGTGCCTGCCTACATCTGTTTTCTATGACTGGCCTGGGTTCCAAGGAGTGTTTGTGAGAGAGGTGAGAACAAGAGATTGGCAGTCTTGTGTTGACAGTTTGTGGCTGTTTGGAAATGAGAATAGTCCACGTCTGATGTTGTAATTCCTCCTTTTATGGGCAAAAATCAATGTCTCAGCATGAATGAGCACAACCAACGCATCCCAGACACAACGTGCACTCTCAGGACACTCGCTGTGCTGTTTATTGTGGCTAGTAGGGGCCAAAAGGCAGAAAAGGATCTTCCCCACTCCTAAGTTTCCCCTCCCTAATGGAATGAATAAAAGCATCAGACCTAAAGAGAAAAAATTCCTGATACATAACCCTCATCACAACTACTCTTAATAATAAATTATTTATTATTATACAAGTATTAGATTCTCACTGACAAAAATTAAAATAGTATAGATAAAGCAAAAGTTTTTCTTGTCTAACCCCCTAATCCTCATTGAATAGCCTTATTGTCCATCCTCTGTGTATCCTGCCAGACTTTTTTCTAAGCAATACATTTGTATGCACACACATAAATACATATAAGCAATTTCACATACAGAAAAGCCTGTATTTGTTTGGTGGGAGTTTTGGTTTAATACATAAATCATGCCATACCACACATATTATACTACAAATAGCTTTTCTTGCTTCAGAATATATGTTGGGGGCTAGGGTTGTGGCTCAGTAGTGGTAGAGCACTTGCCTCTCATGTGTGAGGCACTGGGTTCTATTCTCAGCACTGCATATAAATAAATGAATAAAATAAAGGTCCATCAATAACTAAAAAATATTTAAAAAAGAATATATGTTGGACATATTTTTCCTATCAGTACTATCAACTTATTTCATTTGTTTTATGGGAAGAATAGTCTTCCATAGAATAAATGTATAATAAGTTATTTAATTATCTTCCCCCAAATGGAAATTTATATTATTTTCAAATTTTCATAGTTACACATAATATTGGGATAAATCTCATTGTACATATGTGTTTTTTTTAATCTATATGTTAAAGAATTGCACTTGCTTTTTTAAAGAAACAATAAAAACAACCTACTTAACTTGTGCTGCCATAACAAAATACTTTAGAGTAGGTGGCTTAAACCACAGACATTTATTTTTCA